AGCACAAAACTGTTCTCACTCCAGCGGTGTCACTGCAGCTAAATTAACATTATACAGAGGCAATGGGTTGGTGAAATAAAAATGCTAGGCAAAAACCATTTGCCCAGATAACATGAAGTCTCATGTTATCTCAAGCACTTCTAACATATTCTTTTATTTTGGAGTGAAACATGAACCTAATGTAGGTTGGGGAGTTGGCAAGAAGTTTACTACCAAAAGAAGCTAGCACTCTTGTATATTTACCTAAGTAGAAAGAAATTTTGTTCCTCAGCACTACAACACAAGAAATTCTGACAAAATATTATACATACTCATTTTAGCTTTTTCTCATTTCGATTTGGCTAGAGTTAGGGATAAACTGATATTTTTAGAGTGATTGTACATTCCATCCCTCATTTAATAAAGCCTATTTAAAATATTGCCCTTATTAATGACTACCAGAACACAGCAGTGTTCATAGCCTCTGTAATTCAATTGCCAGTAGTTCGTGCAATAAATCAGGAAAAGGTTAAAATATTTTTCATGCCAGATAGAACCTATCAATCTCTTTTATTTGATTATCTTGTGTAATGAGGCTTTCTTCAGGCCAGATTACCTTACTCATTATAATTATGCCAGATCATATTTTTGCTTAAAATGGAAAAGGTTAAAAAAGTGCTCGCAACCCAGTCAAAACTGTTCTAGGGTGGTTTTTCTCTTTGTACATTTTAGGACATGAGAAATGACATCCTGTTCTCCTTCCAAGAGCAGAGAAGAAAAAAGCATTGTTCCCATGAAAAGCAGATTAGTCAAATGGCATCTGGACAGCACTCATTTTATTCACTGATTTGAAAATTCAATAAAATAATTTCTAAGGTATTTAATTCTAAAGTTAAATCCCACTCCTATAAGTAAAGTCTGAAAAATAACTAGAGCCCAGTAATATCCTTGTATATGTGGTGACATTTGCTTCTTAGTGAATGCAAGCTGAATTCAACCAATAAAGATGTTTATATTATTATAAAGTAATTTCATAAACAAAGAATAACACAAAGGCATTTTCTGCCCCTTTCTTTTTTTAGGCATTAGAACAATCTCCCTCTCCAGAACTCTCTGGGGTCCATTCCCTCCTCAGGCCCTCTTCCGGTTCCAGCGGAGATCCGACAGCCTCAGCCACATGTGAAGCTTGTATTCTGGGGAGTCGGCGGTGGTTATGGGATTTCTCTGTCCTACTCTTCCAAAGGTGTTCCTCCAAATTGAAATAAGGCCAGTCTACTCATTAACAGTACCACAAACCTCACGCAGGGAAAAAAAGCCTTCAGTCTTCCTTAAATCAAAAGGCGGGACACAGAATGAAGGTGGTCTCAAGGCAAGGAAGCAGGAAGGGAAAAGGATGATGACTATTAGAAGTGGAGGCATAACTTTTCAGAACTGTACCTTGAAACACATAAAAATGTTCCTTCCACAAGAATGGCCAGAAGTAAAAAGTCTAACAATGGAACGCATTGGGAAGCACGGGGAGCACCTAGGACTCTCCTACGTTGCTGGTGGGAAGGTACTGCGGTAGCACGATGGTCCCCTGCCTCTTCTGCAGTTTCTAACAAAGATACACATACACCAGCAGTTCTACTTCTAGAAAAGAAAAGAACTGCAAATGTCCACTAAAAGGTTTGTACAAAAGTGTCTACAACAGTCTTATTTATAACAACTAAAATGTCCATCCACAGGAGACTGGGTAAGAAGTTGTGGTACATGCATGCAACACAAAATGACTGCAGCAGAGAGACAAACCACTGTTAAGGCAACAACATGATGAATCCGAAAAACCATACTATTAAGTCTGGGAAGAGGCAAGACTTAAGAGTATATACTGCATGGTTCCATTTATATAAAGTTGGAGAATAGGCATAACTTCCCGTGGTAGTAAAAATCAGCATAATAGTTGCCTTAGGGAGACCCACAGGTTGACCTGATAGGGAAACTTCCTAGGTAACAGCTCTACACCTTGATTTGGGTGATGATTACACAGGAGTATACATTTAGCAAATATGCTGAGCTCTACACTTAAGATCTGTGCATTTTTATTACTGAATGCTATGCATATCTCAACAAAACACTCAGCATGAAGTGTTACTTCTAAAAAATCTATAAACATAAAGGACATACAATCTACATATAAATAGTTCTCAAGTTCATGTGCTAATGTGAAGAGAGACAATGAAAAGAATTTTAAAATGAGAAAAAAAATTTTACAACTTATTAGAATATATGTAAACCAGTATTCTTTAAATAAGAAAAATGCATACATTTCCTTAATGGGACTTTTTGTTATGAATTGTTAGGGGCATGATGGGTGGCCTCCAGGAATGATTTCTTCTTCAGCTGACTCCAAAATACAGTGAAAAAGTCACTATTTACCATTTGAGTTATTTTACTTAGTATCTGCCACCAAAATGCTTACGGGCATTTTGATAAAGGGGACTGGCTCTCCCTTTCTCCCCTCCTGCTGACTCGCTCAAATCTATGCATTCCTTAGGGATTAGGTCCCAAGCCTTCCTCTTGACTAACATGTCAGCCATTTATCCCTTTTCTAACTCTTACATTTATTGTATTAAGCTTTTTTAACTACTCTGTACCCTGTCAGTGATAGAGACCTTCCCCAAAGTAAGATATTTTTAGTAATTTATTTAGAACCTATTGTATATTGTTTGTTACACTAAATTTCTTATATGTGTGTTTAAAGTTAAATTTTAAGTAGAAAGCAAGGTCCTTATAGCCTAAGACTACAACTTCTTTTTCTTTCTCCTTTCTTTTCCTTCTTTCCTCTCTCCCTGCTTCCTTCCTTCCTTCCTTCCTTCCTTCCTTCCTTCCTTCCTTCCTTCCTTCCTTCCTTCCTCCCTCCCTCCCTCCCTCCCTCCCTCCCTCCCTCCCTCCCTCCCTCCCTCCCTTCCTTCCTTCCTTCCTTCCTTCCTTCCTTCCTTCCTTCCTTCCTTCCATCCTTACCTCCTATAAATTAGAAATTACCCTTAGAAATTCTACATAAGGGTAGAATTTCTTAGAAATTGTCTACATAAGGTATTATTTTTTCAAGGATATGGAGATTATGTTCAGTCAGGGGTTGGAGAGTTAGTTCTGTGGGAAAGAGGGCATTTAGGTTCATCCTTGAAGAACATGCTATGGTGAAATTTAAAAATTTGCAGAAAAAGAAATATTTTTTTCAGATCTAAAAAAATGTCAGTGGTTGAAGAAGTTATGAGCCTGATTTATTGCAGTTTAAATCCATTTTTTTCTTGCAGTAGATTATCAAAAATAAACATGCTTCAAACAATTCTTTAGCAATTGTGTTTTTTTTAAATAGGGCCCAAGATTCTATAATATAGAATCTAAAATCTTCTCCTTAAAAATTGTTCGGTTATGCTACTTGTCTAAAGAGAAAGTACAATACAAACTCCTAAACATAATCTATACATTCTTGCTCAGGCGCTTGTTCACCCCTCTACTCTATGCTCCTACCATGATGCAGCCTGCATTTTATGCCCTAGCCATTCAGAATTCCTTCCCATTTTTCCCTGTGCTGTGTTCTCTTTCCCTGCAGCCTTTGCACATAGTTCCCACTACCAAGTACTCACCTCCTTTCTGCCAACTCCTTTTCCCTAGTTTATCTCTATTCAGTCTTCAGGTCTCCACTTAGATGTCATTTTTCCCATGTAGCCTATTCTGATGGCTCCCCAAAGCCAGGATAGGGGAGCTTCCTGCCTCTGCCATCAATACTTTATTTTTTTTATCAGAACACTTCACACAACTGAAGAGTTCTGTCAAAGTGAAGTAACAACTGAAGTTCAATGTCCTTTAGATGGAAAAATGTTATGGTTAATTGTCTTAATGACACTTAACCTAATGCCCAGTGTAGTACATGGAACATAGTAGGTGGTCAGAAATATGAACTGGTTGTTATGAATCACTCTCATCTGATGTTCTAGTCTACCACAACATACAGAAGATGATGCTACTGACCCACAAACCAAAGAACACTTATATAGAATTGTCTAGTCTGCAGGATGATGAGAGGCCAAAAGAACTGGAAGTGGTGAAAGAACTGGGCATAGAGAATAATTTTTCTTTGTACAATAAATAACTACATTCAGTGACCAAATTCATGAGTGAACTCATTATTTTTAAGTTCCAACTAACTGAAATAACCACAATTCAGAAAACTAATAAGACACCGTCTGATTTTAATAATTTAAAGTGACGTGTCTGTTCCTTCCAGTCTGGAGATGCAGCAGCAGGAGCAGACCAGACCTGGTTCCTCGGCCCCACCATCACTGCTCAGCAGCACGCCCACTGGTTTGGGAATTCCTCCTTGACCTAACATTCGGTTTGATCCAGAATGCTTCTAAGCTTACACACTTTCCTCTCCCTCAAAGGCTGATCTTGACATGAATCTCCCTGTCTCCCACCTTAAATGGGGTGTTGTATTTCCAGTCATGATCTTCCACTATTACCTTCTTGCCTCAGGCTTCACTTTTGTCTATGACAGTGTCTGAAACCCTAGGCTGCTGCCTTTATCCATCCATGGGCATTCCCACCACCATTATCCATGCCCATGGATGACTCAAAGACTTGGGACTTGGCTCTTAAACACCAGTGCTCCCAGGAAGATTTAGGACATCAAAGTGTGGGAGGGGGCTCGGTGCGCAGAGGGAACGCTTACCTGGTACCACAATTTCTTGGCACACATGAGTGCAGCAGAACTGACAGCCTTTAAGAAAATGGCAGCACAGAAGTTGGGATTTTTCTACGGCCACAGACTGACGTGGAAGGCCTCGGCCCCACACCACAGCACCACAGCTCACCAGTGCATTTCCGTCAAGGACTGGATGAAGAAGGCTTTTATAAGAGATGCCTGCTGGGGTCAGCTTACCGCAAAGTACTGTTGAGAGTCTTCAGGACCATAGAGGGCATTTTCACTTACACTGTCACTACACATGAGGATGCCCAGCAATCGTGGCTGCTCTTACCTTGTGTGACTGATAGTACTGGAAAGCACCGATTCCACCCTGCTCCTCTGCAGTCCAGAGCACCAAACGCAGAGTCCTCTTTGGACGCAGCCCTGAGGAAAATAATAAAGGAAGTGACTCCTTAGTTGATTTTAACTTTTTTAAAAATGGCAAGGCCTCTCATTTGCATGCTGGAGGCAGAAAGGCACCAAATGCACATGTAGTAATCTCCTGCTGCTATGGCTGCCAGATTGAGTGTGACTGACTCAGGGAAGGACCGTCTTCACGCTGCTCTCCAGCAGGTTAATATAGAAAGAGGTTGTACAAATGCTGTCTGCAGGCCAGGAAGTGAAAACCGCTAATCATATCTTTACCTGGATATTCTGCCCAACCAGACTCCATGTTCAACCGGATATTAGCACACATACAGAAGATGCAGTTAGGAGGACTCTAGGCAGTTCATGGGACCTTCCAATGATTAACTGAAACCCAATCCTTTGACTCCATTTCGAGATAAGGTGTGTAGGGGATTGTTTTTGTTCTAAATCGAGAGTATAGCCAGCTCCCCGTGCTATGCCCAGTAATGTAATTGCTGTGAAGTAGAGGCACCGTTTATGTTCACCCATGACCGTTTTGCTCTCCGGCTTGCAACTATAAGGTCATTCCATTAAGATCAATGAAAATTAATGCAATGAAAATGACATTTTATTCACCTTCTTGCCACATAAGCAGCTTGGTGGGAATTTCATTGACTTGAAACATACAACTTTGTATCTTGGAATTATTAAAGTTACTGACAGATCTGATATATGTAGAACCATTTTTGGGTGACAGTGTCCGCTCAGTAAAAGTTATCTACAAGGAAGCTCTGTTTCTTACAAAACATGGGATGATAACAGACTAAAAGTCCTAGTTTGTGACCAAGAATTAAAACCCAGTCTGATTCAGACCTCGTAATGTCATTTCGGAGGAATAACACAGGTGGAAAAACATGAAGCGGGGCTTAAATCTTAAGAGGATCCATCTTCCAGCCTCACCACAGGGAAACCGTAGGGAAAGACTTTGAGTGGCTCTGAGGGACACATTGCAAATCCCACGTATATCCACACAGTGCTGCCACGAAGGCACGTGGCCTCCCAGGGAGCAAGCTGGGCAACTGCAGCCTGGATGACAAATGCTCCTGGAAAGTGAAGTGCTGGACTGCCTCTTCTGGCATTGACAATGTTCTCTTTTTATAAGCCTTGTGCTAAGAGCTGAAAAGTAGCTACGAATGGAAGTAGCACTAAATTGAAGATTGTCGTGAAGCCACTTTACACTTGAGCATTGTAATATAATTAAAGAAGCACAGGTTTATGATGCACAATGACCCAAGTTCCAGTTAAAGCCTGGACAAGCCATTCCTATACCCAATTGCTTAGCAAATCCCATTGGTGTTTTCTTCTATCTAGAATAGAACGTCTCACTTCTCCTGTTACTCTGGTCCAAGTTCTCACCCTCTTCTGCCTGGATTGTTGTAGTCATTTCCTACTGGTCTTCCTGCCATAGTCTTTACCCCCTGTATGTGATCTTCCATACTGCACCCAGAAGGACCTCTGTTAAAATTAAACCAGATCATGCCATTTCTCTGCTCAAACACTCTTAACAGCTAGAATATAAGCTTCTGGAAGGCAGGTGTGTATGACTTTTAATTCACTGTGATGCCCCCAGTGCCTAGACTGTTGGGCACACATGAGATGCCCAATTGATACGAATGAATCCACAACTTGGTGTCTCACTTAGAATAACATTCTGAGCCCCCATCACTTTACCAGCCTCATCTCCTAAAACTCTGCAGCTAGTTTACTCCCTGGTGAGCTTTGAGTTGAGAAAGGCAAACAGATCTGGTGAGCTCTGCTAGTGTAACCATAGGAAGTTGATCTCATCCAAACTTCAGATTCCTATTCTGGAAAATAAAGAGAATATTCCCAGCCTATGCCATAACTATTTCAAGGAGTGGTTGTGAGGACTAAATGAGATGTGAATGGGTGTAAGGCAATCATGTGTCTGGCATGTAATAGACATTTGATAAATGAATTATAAAACCACATAACAAATATCCTTTATCAGCAGAGAGAAAGGAAATCTAAATACTCAGATAGGAAGTTCTGTCAAAGGCATTCAAATACCTGCTAAAAAAGAACACTGAGGTGCCCACTGCTTGCCCCAGAGTCAAACCACCTGCTCATATTCACAGCATAAACTTAAATTGTTGGAGGAAGAAATCCAATCGGTGTATCTGAATATCATGATCTTTGGTTTGTCTAAAGGAAATGTATTTAATATCACTTTAAAGCAAATGAAATTTGGCTTGCACCGTAAAAAAACATAAGACAGAATAAAGTACAGCAAATAAAAATTCCGAACATTTTAAAAGTCCATGAAAAGGGGAAAACACATTTTCTTTTTACATATCTCTGCACCTATCAGCAAAATAGCACCAACTTATTAAAATGGTGAAGTTCTCTGAAAAAGGATTGTTAGCACAAATTATAAAAAGTTAACTTTGTAAAGAAAATGCCCTGAATATCCTTATAGATTTGGTGTTATACTTGAATGTCATTATCACCCAGGATTAGTCTCCTTCACATTTCAAATCAGCCAGATGAACAATGACGTTATATTAGAATAACAAAGAAGTAATCCACGTGAAGCGAGGAGGACTAAAGCTTCCAAACAACAGCAGCACAGCTGTTGGAGCACGGCTGATCCTAAAGAGACAAACAGAGCTTCCTTGGAGCTCTGAGAAACTCAGTACCCCTCAGCATGGGTGCTACTCCAGTCAGCACCTCCCGAATGAACACCAGCACTTACTCCACATTCAAGGTGAAGGGCTCAGCAAACACGGTTAGAAAACAAGTGGTTAAACAAAAACCTGACTGGGCCCCAAAGTCTATTTCCACTCTGACACTCTCATTGTCCCAAAACTTAAAGAAGTACATGGGACTTCATTCAATGACTAGACCCTGCCCCTAATATGAGGTTTGGGCCCCCAGCCTTAGTCCACACATGGGCAGTGAGGGTCACAGAAAGGGACAGGCCATTGTTTGAATTCCTGCTCTGCCGTGCCTGGGATCTGTGACTTTAGATTAGTTACCTAACCTCTCTGAACCTCAGTTTATTCATTTATGAAGGAAAATGGTAATTGCCTCATGGAATTGTTAAGACAATAAAATAAGACAAGGCAAATTACATAATAAGGACAGTCTCTGGCACATAGTAGGTTTTCAAGAATTGTCAGCTTCTTTCTACATCATTCCATACACTTTCAGTCTGTGCCAGTAATGATCAGGACAATCTCATTCCCATAATAAGTATATTTATTCCTCATTCCTCTTCCTCAGGAGCTATAGAACATCTTTGTTTATACAGAATGCATTCCCAGCTGAAGAAAAAAATATGAATTTCATCTAACTTGTAGAAAAACACATAACCTCCTTCAGTATGGAATGCTCCCTCATCCCAACCTAGGGCATATCCCAGTCTAAATAAACAGAAACAGCTTGCTCACTTTAGAAGTGAGGTTGATCAGAATCCTTAGTTTCTGGATAAAGTCAAAAAGCTCAATAAGTCTGAAAAATGAAAAAAAGTTGATAGAAGACTATTTATATCCATCATTTTTAAATGGTAAAATTTATTGTATTATATGTCTCAAATTCAAACTAGATATAGAAGCTAAGAATGTTAAATATATATCTAGTTGGCCAATAAGTCCACACATTTTTTCCATAAAATAGACACATTTTTCACTCTCACCCGTAACTTTTATTGATTTAGAGATTTTGAGTGTGTCAGCGATCTCCCACACGGCATAATGTTGATGGTTCTCAGTTAATGTCTCAATTTGATCATTATCAACTTCAACTGGTCTGCCCAACAATGGAGTATTGTCCAGTGAGAAATCTCCAGTATGAAACTTCACAAACCACATTTGACATGTTTGATCAGTCACAGCACATTTTCCATCACAGCACAAATCTTTTTTTTGTGTCTCAGTTGCATTTTTACCTTACTTGAAATAATAAAACATAATATGCTGAAAATGTTGCTAATTTTCTTCCATCTTCAATATTAAAATGGCCACATGAAAATCCACCAATTTTGATAACTTTTTTTTTCCAAATGCATGCTGATATGACAGCTGTCACAATACAATCTAACAAAATTGTTTAAAATGAAGTCGAAGACAACTAAGTGCTACCAGAGCCATCTTACGGAAAAAACCAAATGAACTTTTTGGCCAACCCAATAAAATAACAACAATAATAAAGCGAAACTAACAATAGCAGCACAGCAGTGATATGAGGTCAAAGGTAGGAATTTCATTTTGCAGTAGAACTGGGGTAAATGACATCATAACTCAGGAGTGACCGTGGCTCTGCGGCACACAGCACTGGCCCAACGAAAGCATACAGGAAACAAAGTCAGAACCAGAGACCAGAGGGAAGACCCTGCTCCTAGCTGGCTGTACGCAGGTCTCATTAAAGTTTCATCGGAAGATAGGCAGCTAGTTCCCCTATGGAGGTGCACACACTGCCCAGAGATCTTTGATCTCTTGCAATTTCTGTTAAGAACCCCAAATAGTGCAGCTAACATTTTACAGCATCATGGTTTTCCTCTGAAGATCATAAACTGCAGATAATGTGTCCGAGTTCTGTCTTCTCTATGAAATATTGGCATAAAAATGCATTTCACTTTCACTTTATTGAGGAGAGTAATAATGCTATTGGGAAAACAGTGCCTCTGAGAAAAAATGAAAACAACCTGGTTGGACTTTAGTTTTCATTGCTATCAAATGTAAAGATGAAGAGGTTGAGAGCTGGCTACATCAAACTGAAAAATTGAAAAGGTCACTTGAGTGTCTCACACTTGCACCCAGAGTGGAGCAAAGCGGATAAACTCCGATTAATCCAACTTTTTAGATAGCTTTCCCAAGTCAGGAGTTCCAAAGAACACTATGAGTTAACAATATGTATTGGCCCAAATACTCACGTACTACTCAATTCTGATCCCTCCAGAACTATGTATGAGAACCATGAGAACTGGGATCTCCCTTCCGTGACCTAACTTTGCAGAG